TACGTAAAATTATGTTAAATTGATGTGATATGGCAGGAACTTCCTGTCAAATGAATTATGGGATATATGTCACTGTTACATGGTGCTTAGTTCTAAACTATACTTTAACAGACATTACCTTTTCATCTTGTTCAGGTTCAATGTCACGGTAACCTATGTGTGTGTCTGGTCGTCCATAGTACATCCCAGATAAGTCAATTTCATCAGATGAGAAGAATATTTTCAATCGTTTGGTGCTAGCAATACCGTTAACAAAGTAACCGAGCATATTTGGAAGTTGAAGTAGTGGAACCACGAGTTGATTGAACAGCGCTAACGATGCAAATGTTATTTCTGGAGTGAGAGGAGTTGGACTCAGTGTTGAATAGACAACGAATGACTATAAACGAAGAAGATATAAACATTACATTTATGAATACTCGGCTAATAAGTATTAATCCCACGTTTATATAAACTAAAACAGTGTCAAACTGTTTCATATATCACATTCATTTGGTATAGTTTGAAAACATTCCATGCGATTTTAATTATAATATGTATTAGTACTTACAATTAATGTCACAAAAATTGGCGTGGCATTAGAAGAAAACGCTGAAAGATAAGAAATATCGCAAGTCATAATATCATATGTCTTGTTTTTCATATATCCCGTTCGTGTCTTTCGCGGATAAGTGTTGGTTGGGAGATTTAGAATTTTACCTGATATGTGAAAAAACCAGATATATTTTAATTCCATCAAGCAATATTTATACCATTAGTATTTTGATATTTTGATGACGTGGTTAGTTTATTCTGCTATTTCAAATAGATATTTAATACACAGTATGGCAACATTAAACAATTATTAACTGCGCTTCGGATATATGAAGAATTGTTTACCCGTTATGTCAAATTTTTTTCTCATCAGAGTGACAAATTGTCATAACACGAAGACTGTTTATTGGCGTGTGGAAATCGTTGGAATACACACATACAACCAAGATGGCCGTATCTGTATTGGAAAAAATATTTTAGTTTTCCGCATCTTTTTAAACATACCTTTCGAGATCGAATTTTGCCTTTCCAATACTGTCTGCCGACTTCGTATTTTTATATTCAAATTGTCTGCCTCATTCGTTTTGCAATGTTACTAACACGGATGTTTCAGACGTGATTTGGTAAATTCGCATGTATATCAGCCGCCAAGCGGTGGGTCCATAACTCTTCTTGTGCCGGTTCTTAGTCTTTGTTATGGTGTTTTAGTTATTTCAGATACATTTTAGAAGAGCCAAGGTTCTTCCCAAAAACTTGCGTAACACAAACGTGAGAGGCCAATATAATTATATTTTGTGGGTTCGACAAAAGCGAAATAATGTCAGTTGGAAAAACTGTTGTAGCTGATCATCTACTTTATTTTTACAAAATGACCTTAACACTGATAAGGATGCAGATAAAGCCGGGGGAGTCACTGGGCGCCGGTGCTTCGCAGCCAGTTAAAAACTGGACACAAAACGATCGACGTTGAGGGCGTTTTGGCTGAAGATATTGCCAAATATTACCTAGATTTAGCTAGAATTGGTGTTTAAAAAAGATCGTGAACATGGGGGTCAAAATACCGCCACATACCGTCAAAAAAACCAAGAGTTTAAAGGATATCAGGATTCATGGCAACAGTTCTGTTCGAATTTCTTAATGAAAGGAGAAACCGTTCCCCCATTTTCAAATGGAATATGCTAGCCTGGAACATGTATTAGGCAATGTGTATACGAGTGCGTGAGCGTTGACGTTTCAGAAAATGCAGTCATTTGTTTTCATAAAAATTTGCATACTCAGATTGTAGCAAGTGGATCATATTCGCATAAGCTACGTAATGGTCAACTTATGAATAGTTATGATGTGATTTAAGATTGTGTGAGCTTTGAGTTAGCAAAGCAGAACTTGTCAGTGTTTAGTGTTTGATGTCACTTCCTCGGCAACAAGTGCGCTTAGCAATCAAAGTCCTATACAAATTCATGAGAATAATAACAAATTTCCGCCTCGGAAACATAACATTTAGTGTATACAAAATCCTGCATGGAGCATCCTGATTGGTCGAGAAGCACTATGTTTGTCGCAGGTGTCGGCCCATTTTGTGTTGGAATTTGAACAAACACGAAAGGAATGCCACAACGAAATGACGAATTGTGATAATATGCATACATATTTGAAACATAATGAACAACAATGACAAAACTCACTTGTAATGATTATATGAACACCAACAAGCATCATTTGTTTTATCTCCCGTGCCCGGACCGTCTCAATAGTAGCGAAAAATAGTGCTTCCCAGCCACACAGTTTAAGTAACTTTATACCTTGTAGCATTTCGTTGGACTTCTTTAAACGTTCATCAGATATGGCCTACAAAAAAGATTAAATTTCAAGTGCGTGTTATTTATGTATTATTAATAAATTATCTTTACCTATCATATCTGAGAAGACCTAGACGATTGATCGATGTGGAGTCCTGAGATATTGTCCAGTCACCTTTAACGACATTAATGGCCATACCGATATTATTAAATATCTGATCAATAACGAAACGAACGTACTTATAGTATAAGTCGTCTGAGGGCGCAGTTACATAAATCACAGAAGTACTATTACAGATAACCTGTAAGGTCATTGTATGCATTGCGTTTTTCAGATATTCTACAATGCAAAACCTGTTTTTTTATTATTATTAGAAATATCAGAGTCAATATTTACTCCTTATGCATATGCATAATGAAACAGATAATGATGTGATGGTAATTCATTCACAAATCTCTTCACACTTTTATTCTAAAGTAGTGTAATTCGTTGTGTCTAAAACTTACCAACACTTTCCTTTGTAATCTGCTCATGTTATCACTGATTTTGTATTGTAAGGGCGTAACAATTAAAAATACTGAAGACCCAATAAGCGCTGCTATCCCTAATTCCATATATAACAATAACAGGATGACGATAACCTGAAATTGACGAGTTGATGTACATATCATATTGATGTGTATGCATGTAACAGATAACAGATAACATAAATAACACGCCATTATTTTGATTGGCAAAGACGGTAAAATGATCAAGGTATTACTAAAATGATGAAACGTAACCAAAAGAAATAAATTTGTTTACATAACTATCATAGCAAATGATGGTTATTCATATACTTTTGGTGATTGCATTAATTAATTAAAACAATTGCATTTTGTGAACTTTAAAATTAAACACAATTATTGTTCGTTTATTTCGTTTCACGTACCTGATATGGTATGGTAAGTATGAAAAATTGCATCATGATAAACCATTGTAGAGCTATACAGTCCACCGACATGTGATTAGTGATTTGTCCAATTGACATGGTCTCACTAGATAATGTAGATGACGTCAGGCGTAATGCTTTGTCATATATTGCACTCTGTGTCGGAAAATGAATAAATTGTTAGACGTCGGTTTACTGAATAGTTTGCATACATTGCATTGTCAACCAGAACACGTAATACGATAGTATGCGGTGGTAGAACAGTGTTAATGTTTTAATAATATCGCGTCGTCTAAACATGCGGCATTAAGTATCAAGGATGTCAGAGATGGTGTGTATAATGAATATGGCACTGATAATTAAATAATAACACATGCTTGTGAGGGTAATATCACGATTTGTTGCCTGCCCAAGAGATGGTGGCCATAACCATAATATTGATGATGCCAGCTTAAGGCGAGGGCATCATCAATATTATGGTTATGACCAATAGCCCGAGGGCAGACTACAAATCGTGATATTGCCCGAATAATCATTGCATATGTTATTTATTTTATCACATTGAACTGACATCAACCATGCATAATCACACCTACCATACATCACTCACAACAACAACATTTATATTTGAAGTATGCAATATTTTATTTTACTTATTATAAAAAGTTTCACATGACATAAATACGCTGTTTGCGGGAAAAAAAAAACGAAATACACTCGTAATTTATGGCGCCCGCCAACTCGTGAGTGAAAAAAAATTATCTCCATTTTTTTTTTCGAACGCCGCCTAACAAATCCAAGTTATTTGATCACTCTACAGATAAAAATGTCTGAGTGCCGTGGAAGTGACTGAAATTACTTTTTCGCGAACGTACCACACCTATTCACAAGCCACACAGCTCAGAGCGTAGAACTCGCTGCAGCGAGCTCGGCTGCGCGAATACCCTAAACATCAAAACAAAGTATCTTACTTAATATCCATTTTGGCACGTTCACTGTCTATTTCGGATGGCTAAATTTCTTTCAAAACCTTGAAAGCTACCCCGAAAACAACAGCGGCCGTGGCAGCATCAGTGCAGCGAACGACAATTTGTTATGCGCAGTATCGTTGCGCAGTAGTTTCAGTGACGTCATCTATGTGATATACCCATGTAATATCCACTTGGCGGGCAATATACCATGTAATATCCATTTTTATTCAATGTCATGTGACCGAGTCTCAACCAATCACAGCATGCGTAACAACAGTGAGATGTGATAATAGCTTAATATATACCTGTAGGGCTGTCCGAATGTGCACCCCTTCCATAACTGATATATTTCCTCCATATTGCAGTGTCATCGACTTCAGTATTGTGGTAATGAAAATTACACCTAACAATACGAAACCATTGCTGAAGTATTCGCTAACTGTTACGTAATACGTACTCTGTGATAAAAAGATAAAAAGGGCAAATTATATCTCAGTTCATTTATTATTAAGTTGGAACACATACAAAGCAAACCTGTTATATTTATTATTTTATATTGTTTATTGCATCTATATTCATCAATATCAATTATGTTACTTAGCTTGCCACCCAGATTTGCGATATTTACACGTATGTTCAATGGTCTGTAATTTTATTTTAACCTGGTATAGAGAGGAAGAGAATACTCCCACTTACATATTCCTCTGATATGTCATCATTGTAATACAATCTTGAACTATATGCGACGACGCCACCTACGGCCAAGGGTGGAATAAAACCAAACGTATCACTAATTAACTTGTACACAGTGGATATAAATACTGATCGGCCATATGCTTTCACATATGTTCTCCAAAGTGAGATTCTTCCAGATGTGTTGCTTTCCTATAACAGAGATGCAAATAAGATGGAGACATTCTTAAACATATATCATGTAAGAGGCTGCATGGGTGGAACTGGGAGGGGTCACTCCCAAAATTGAATTAGACACGTGAGCGCCGCTGTTTAGAACCCAATGTTAAAGGCGAGTCGATCTTTTTGCCCCCAATTTTAGTATTTTTGGTCATTTTAGCTAAATGTCATTCATGAAACACAATTTCTTGGAAGAAATTCGAAGAAGCGATGCATTACGGATACAATTCTTTAAAAGCAATATTATACGCACCTTGTAGGCTTTTTGAAATCTCTTGTGTTGATATTTACACTCGAAGTTTTCCGGTAAACATCCCAAATCTATAATTTCTATGGGTTTTTTGTACCCCAGTATGTAAACCCAATTGACGGACCAGAAAGTAACACGTGACATTATGTTGGTTGAATTATAAGTGTAACGTAGTTGCTTCTTTTTCTTCTTGTGGTCATTTATATGTCTATTTCTGACTGAACAGCACTGGAATACCTACAGATCAAAGAAATATGTCAAGTACTTTAATTGTGTATAAAACATAGACGTGAAAACTATTCAATAAATTCTTCAAGTTAAATTCAAGTTGATGACATCTCTGAGAGTAAACCTAGAAACCCTGATGGTAAGCCCCGCCTAGGTTAGGTACCCGCGGGTCACTTAATGCGAATTCCATTATTCAGATTGATTAGTCCGGATGATGAGTAGATTCAACCTATAACTGAATAAATTTAGTGACAATTTAGTCTCTGATGGGATATACAAAATCACTATTTGGTCTATAATGGGGTATGTTTTTTTAGGGGGAAATGTCTATGATGGAGACTGGGGTTTTACATACCGGCCGCATACCCCTACCAAACTGAAAGGCCAGTGCCTCCCCGGGGTTAGGTAACCCCCGTCTCGGCAATAGACGCCCACTTGGGCCTCAACTACGGCAGTGAATACCAACCAAACACTTGGGAAGAACAAAACTTGTAAATAATTTGCTTTCAATCTAAGGAAAATAGGTGTAGCAATAGTCCTAGCCCTGACTACGCTCCCCGGAGATGTATTGTGGTTCGGTTGCGTCTGGTCGACCAATCGAACGTACGACCAGCTGACTTAACCGAACCAAATTACTTTCCCCCGATGTAAATATAACTGTTCAATAATACAAGAATTGAAGATGGATTACATTGTCAGTCATCAACAACATGCGTCTTTTGAAATATATTCGTAGAGATTGTGACGTATATCACAGTATTCATACATTGAGTAATATAAAGATCTATTGGCGTATTTTTGAGACCAGATTTTTAAAATTTTAAACTCCACCGAGTGTTGCTTCTTAAAAACGTTTGTTCAATACGTTTTGTACCAATGATAACTAACTAACTAACTAACTGACCTTTTTAACAATGGTACATGGTTAGGCGTTGACGCCATTCATAACAAAGTAAATGTGTATTCGAGGCGGCTAGCGGGGATGGCACTCGATGTGATTCATCGGGCCATACCTGTAGAGTGGAAGAGAACTATACTCAATCAAAAAGTGACCGATGAGTCAACTAAAATCAAATATTACATTGAACTTTGTTATAGAGACGACGATAATGACATCCTTCTGAATACTCCACTCTACAAATTTGAGAGGGGTGAAATTTACAAATTCCTGATAAAGTCTCAGTATTTTTCCAACCGCAACTCACAGTTCAACACTATATGGCACGACTTACTTTCTCTCTCGCCCAACTCTAAACCTGTTAAAGATTGTTATATGACTCCAATCACAGAGAAAGACGGCTACCTTAATTGGCGCACGCTCCACGGCGCCTACCCAACTGGCGGGTTTCTTTTAAAAAACAAAGCCCAGACCATTGATATTTGTCCCTTCTGTGACGAAAGGGACGATCTTACCCACATTTGTATTGAATGCTTAAGACTCGCCCCACTTTTCAACTTGCTGAAATTAATTACCAATAAACTTGTAAATATTGACACTATACCAGTTTCTTGGTACGTACTAGGCCCACCAAGTAAAAGAACGGCCACATGTCGTTTACTTTGTTTCATAATTGCAACCATGAAAGTGGCAACTCACGTAACACGATATAAAAGGTTAAACAATCGGGTACAAACAAATGTGTTACAGTGTTTTAAATAAAAAATTAGGTATCGGGTAACTAACGAATACAACTATCACCGCCTTACAAAGTCTCTAGATGTATTTGAAACACAGTGGTGCGTTAATGCTGCCATTGCAATCCTGGATGACAACTTACTGATAATCCCCGATCTTAGACAATGGCTGAATAATATCCTTTTTAATTGTACAAACCCACCTTTTCAATTGCTTTTTATTAGATTTATTGTACTTTTAAGTATTTTTAGAATTGTAATTTTTAAACTTTTTATCATTTACCGATTGTAATTTGAGTTTACAACCATTTGTAAATGTTATCGTTCAATGTCGTACATGTCTCTAATTCACATCTCGTCATTTGTTCATTGTTTACTTGTTTGTAACCCCCGGTAATCATTTGTAATCGTTTAATCGTTTTATTTTGAATCGAGAAATGTGTCAAACGGATGACTGTTATCCCCGGCCGATGGCACAGGGCGGGGGGGTTTCTCGGTTTCATTTCTCACTGTCCAGTCGTTATTGATTTATTATTTACCCGTAGAATTAAAAAAGAAAGAAAGAAAGAAAGAAAGAAAGAAAGAAAGAAAGAAAGAAAGAAAGAAAGAAAGAAAGAAAGAAAGAAAGAAAGAAAGAAAGAAAGAAAGAAAGATCATCAGTTGGCGTAACCCGGAAGTAGTGTCATCTCAACCCGAGGTCCCGCAGTGAACTTTGACCGATGGGCTGTGAACTGCAGTTACAATGACTATGATTATAGTGATTGAGGTTTTATAAACTATACACACAGTCACTCTAGTACCTAGTAGAGTGACTGTGCTATACATGAGTGTTATAACTATAAATCAATTAATGATACGTCGCGAACTATTTGACTATTGATTCGACCTACTTGTTTTCGAAGCAGATTTAACTCCAATACAAGACACCCAAGGTAGCCCAGTGTGCGCAAAATAATGATATCCAAGCGTAGAATATTCACGTCGAAACCTGTATGTTGTATTAATCTGTTAAGTATTAGCAGTTCAATAACAGTAGATGTAATCCAATACACCAGCAATAACCAGGATAATTGTGGTCGGTCCCAGTATTCCATGTGGTGGTAGTAGACCAGACTCATCACAGCACTGACGAGTGCTAGTGACTGGGGAACGTATAAGTGTGGATGTGTTGTTGTGTTTCTTGTTAGGTCTGTTAGCACTCCTTCCCCAACGCCGCAAAGCAAAACTATGAATATCGCTATGTTTATCATCCATTTTAGAGAGTGACGCGGATATAGCGTAATGGTCGTGGCTTGATAGTACCGTAGATTTGTAGCATATCCAAGCAGGACGAGAACTATAGACATCAGTACTATGAAGAATGCGTGAATGAAAGCTTCTACGAAATAAACAATACATTCAGTTTCTACATGCTTGTCAATGCTTGTAGTTGCGTTGGTTGTCCCACAGAACACAGACTGTATAATCCCCATCATGATGTCGTCTGCAGTTCTCGGCAAGCACTTCGGTTAGCTTATTGGGACTGCCTAAGCTGATAACAAAACAACGGAACGTATAACAATCATAATACGCCCAGGTAAAATACGCCCCTTTAAAAGCACATACAAGATAGGACACTAAGGGGTATTTGCGTAATCCGTAATTGGTGTTTTTTTTTTTATTCCGTAATCTTGTAATTTTAATAAATAAAAAGACGTAATTTCGTACGCATAGACCAGACGTAAAACGTTATCTGCTATGCTTGTTACAACGATAGTTTTTTAGTTTTTAGATATCTGCTCACCATCCCTCGCGTCGAATGTACGACTGGGTCAGGGGCATGTTCTCCGGGGGGAAAAAAACACGAAAAATCTAGACCGTCGGAAACGCTATTTCTTGCATTTTGAGAGGCACATTTTGCTGACACAGAGGGTTTTAGCTTGAGATACGAATGGTTGTAGATTTATGACAACGTTCGTGTGAATATTCAGTTTAATTTTACTATATGGCGGACATGTGACGGCGAATCTCGGATTTCTTTGGTGTTGTACAATTCTGAATAGAAGTGCAATATTTGTAGCCATGTAAACAGCAATAAAGTAGAGTGGTACCACATTTGTATTGATAACAGGAGTTCTCTAGCAATCTTTGTATATTCAGTTTCTCAACATATGTGACAGTTCATCTTCATGCAGCGGAGATAAACGAACCTGTCCACAGATGCGAAGTCGATGGCTGGACGGACAATGAACACTGAGACTAAGGCAAAATCCGGATCTCAGAAGGAGTCCGTGATACGAAATTTGTTCTGAACTTCATTAGGTTGATTAAATTTGTCGTCGTGACGTTCTAATGTTGTTGTCTGTGAATAATGAACAATTTCGTGAAATGTAATTAAGCATTTCGTAAAAAAAAAATCAAATTG